TGGCAAATTTCTCCCATTCTGTAGGTTATCTCTTCAGTCTGTTGAATGCTTCCTTTGTTCTGCAGAAGGTTTTTAATTTGATCCCACTTGTTGATTCTTGATGTTATTTCTTGTGCTTCTGGAATTATGTTCAGTAAGTCCTTGCATACGGCTGTAAGTCTTTCCCCTATATTATCTTCCAGCAGTTTCAATGTGCTTTTATATCTAGGCCTTTTATCCATTTTGATTTGATTTTAATACAAGGTGAGAGATACGGGTCTACTTTCATTCTTCTGCACATGGATAATTAGTTTTACCAGCACCATTTATTAAAGAGGCTGTCTTTTCTCCAGCATATGTTTTTGGCCCTGCTGTCAAAAATCAGATGGCCGAAGGTACAGGGATTGTTTCTTCTATTCCACTGGTCTACATGTCCGTTTGTGTGCTAGCACCACACCGTTTCCATTAGGACAGCTTCCTGGTATACTTGTAACTTGAAATCTAGAACTGTGATGCCTCCTGCTTGGCTCTTTTTGCTCAGGATGCTTTGGCTATTCTGGGTCTTTTCTATTTCCATGTAAGTTTTAGGACGATCTTTTCTGGCTCTGTGAAGAGTGATGTTGGTATTTTAATACAAACTGCATTAAATCTATATGTTGCTTTCGGCAATACAGCCATCCCACTCTTCTTTCTTTCTAGGGACCTCTGGTGCATTAAACCACGTTGACCATAGTCCTGAGTTTACGACACATAGCTGCCATCACCTCTGCACGGCCCCCTTTGCTTTTCCTTTCTCACCCGCTGCGCCCCCTCCCTTCCTCACACAGGTGCTGACTGCAGTGTATTTATGATGTTTTCCTCCGATCTTCCAGAAACATATTTAGGTGGTATGTGCCCAAGAAAAATAGTGCTGTTTTACATGTGGGCTTCTTTACATTGAATGGCCTTGGCTGTAAGTGTCCCCCAAGGGGATATTTGGGCTTTGTCCATGCTGCCATATGTAAACCTGGCTGGCCGCTCTGACTGCTGCAGGGGACCCCGTGCAGGTTGGCCTGTAGTTCGTCCATCTCTCCGATGCTCAGTTTTCTCTCCAAACAAACAAAACCTGGTGGTAATAACACCTCCTTTTCCAGAGTCACTGAAAAGGTCACTACTTCAACATCTTGCCTGTGTGATTCCAGTTCTTCACCAACACGAATGCTGCCGTGAAGAACGATACCCTTGCGATGCCCCTCCACCCCCATGTTTCCTGTTCTGGCCTCGCAGGCCTACCGCGACTCCACAGATGGGGGCTGCCCTTGCTACTCTGCAGGGAGGGCCACGCACACAGGGTCCAGTCTAGAAGACATGTGTTTCCTGGATGTGCCACCTTGGGCAAACTGCTTATGGTCCTGCGGACCTGCTTTCTCTTGTGGGCGAATGACAGCACAGAAGCAAGTGCTCTGTAAACGAAGAAGGGCTGCCTGCTCTGCTGTGTGGTTGTATGTGGGGTAGAAAAGATGGGAAAGGAGAAGGGCAGGCACACAGGGTGCCTTGAGACGGCCTCGTGGGCCAGTGACCGTACTATCATCCACAAAGATCACAGCAACAGGCTGGCCCCCCTCGAAAACTTTAGCCAAGGAATCAGGGCTCCTGAGTCGGGATGTCCTGGCTGGCTGTGCAGTAACAGGCACAGCGCCACCCCCCGCCGACCTCAGAATCCATGAGGAGCATCCGTGAGCACAGACACTGGGCCCCGCTTCTGTCCATGGTCCCCTGCTCTCTGGAAGCGCGACCTGAGCCTTGCAATATGCGGCGTTGAAGTTCTCCAGCCCTCTGCAAATCTCAGGCTTTTTTCTGTCAGTTCATCCCACTGACCACGAGATGGCGCCCACTTTCTGAGAAATCTATGTTCACCAAAGTGTATCATCCATTTTCTGTACTAAGCACCCCTGAAAAGAATGGGTTCGAGTTTAATGACCTTTCCTGGCATCTCATTATGCCGGAATCTTGTGCCCTCGGTGTGCAGCCATTTGCCGTATCTTCTCCTTTCTGCCAGACAGCCGTGGCTGGGGATGAGTCTTCCGTGTTGCATTCCTCCAAGCGGAGAGCAGGCAGTGATTGCTGACTAACGATCATAACCTTCGGTAAAATAACTTCTAATATTCTTCTAATCCTTTACCATTTGCAGAGTGCTTTTAACCAACTATCCTCAGAATTATTTTAGGAAATGCACATCATTATTCCTAGTTATGAAAAACGAAGACTCAGTCACAACGTAATAATTACTAAAAGAGAATTTTCTAATGACAGATCATGATCCCTTTGTAACACTGAGATTGAAGTCAACTAACTGCAAGGGACCCTGGAAATGCAGTCCTGAGACAGGAAGCTTCTCCAGACAGCCCCTGGAAGACTTCCAAGTAAGCGAGAAGACAGACAGATGTTGTCCTAGGGCCTCATGCTATCAGGCAAAAGGTGAATGGACAGACATGTCTGCAGAACCATGTGGCCAGTGGAGCTAACAGCTATCAGGTTTCTAGGGAGACGCTGGACAGAATCGGCAGACATTTAAAAAGAGGAAAGATTTTTTTTATTATTATTTTATTTTTCTATTCCTGAAAAATGAAATTCTATATGTAAATGGGGAAAACTAAACTTAATTCTGCCTTAATAAAGAGCTGTAAACTCATTTCTGAAGAGAATCCTTTTCCCCCAGCAGCACTGTCTTATGAGATCAGCGGATCTAACAAAGGTAACTTATAAGATCAGTTACAGATCCCTGTAACTGACCAGGAGCCCAAGGGTCAGGCATGACATGTTTTCATTTCACATGAAGGGGCTGAAAATGTAGGTTCCGGCTGCATGGACTAAGAATACTGTTTATAGGACAGAGGCAATGAGACGGAAAGTTTAATAAACTGGTGTTTTTATAATTTACTGATTCCAGTGGGTATTTTAAACTACTCTGTTCTAGCCATTTTCTATGCCTCAGCTTCCTGTCTGGAAAATGGTGATAAGTGTACACCATACCTCCTTCTAGAAGAGCTACCACATTGTTTGCTGGTGAGCTCTAACCACTAAGGCTTTCATTTCACTTTCTGGCATGCTGTTTTATGAAGCAGACTCTGTGGAGAGATGAGGATGAACACGTACCATTCTCAGCCACAGTTTTCCCTCCTGACACCTAGGGCCGAGCCCAGTGAAAGCCTTCAAGCCACCTCCCTCTACACCCCACTCCCACTCAGAAAGCCTCTCCCACTGTGACCCATCTCCTCAGGCCCAGGGAGGGGTGGCGGGAGCCTAGCGGGGCCGGTGGGTGGGGGAAAGAGGACAGCAATGAGCACACATTCCAGGTATGTGCGTGGAACCTGAACTGGTGTTACACTACAGAAACAACATTTTAAAGGTGGTTAAGTTTCTTAGAATCCAAACCAGAGGGCGGCTACACTGAGAGTTACACGGACGCCTGTGCACTTTGCCAGCGCCTTAACTAACATTACGTAATTATATCTATGAAAATGAATTTTCCCAAATACCTGACTTCAAAAAACTTTTACAGTAGAACTCAAGTGGGGCACTATCCTACATACCCCAGCATCAGAGGGCAGTCCTTTTTCTGTCCCCCTGTCTGCCTACCCATTCGCACCATCTGTCTATTAAGGTACAGGACGGTTACCACGGACACAGGAAAAACAGAAAGCTAAGATCCAGGGATGAGAGCGCGGCTTACTGGTAGAGCGCTTACCCAGCGCTTGCCTCGTATGCCTGAGACCCTGAATTGAATCCTCAGCACTCCAAAAAAATTTTTAAAAAGCTAAGATTTAAAGATATATTTGGGTTCAAAGGGATGGTTCTGCTGTAAATTCACTGAGTTTTTTAAAGAATATATTAAACATGATCTCTTTTTCACGGCGAGAGTAGGAGGCGGTGTAGTACAAAACATAGCACGTTTTGCATTTGTAAGTTGTGCCTTTATTTCCTTATCCATAATCAAGGATGGTTATATTTACTTCCTAGGATCACTTTTTAAAAATGAAAACAATGTATTGAGTGTTAAATCTGGCACAGCGTGGTTATTTCCCATCTCCCTTTTACTTAGCCTCTTTGGAATTCCCTGTATTTTACTTCTATAAAAATATTTTGAAACCACATTTAATTTTCAGGAACCCTGACTGAAACTTTCCTCTATGCTTGGGACCATCTACCTGACTTACACTGGGAAGCAGGAATGGATTACTAGATAATAAGTAGGCTTGGATACACTTACGCTGGCAATGGCAGTCACTGCCTGAACAGACTCACCTGGGTACTTAGCCGGCGCCTTGACTAACATTACCGCCTCGTCCTTGATTTTCCTAAGCCTGTGAGTTTCATATTTTTCTCATTTTCTGAGCAGAGATTTAAGGTTCTCTTAGCCCCAACCAATGTCCTTTCCAGCGATAACAGCAAAGTCAGGTTCTACTTAAAGAATAAAGGAATGGTATCAGTGAGGGACAAATTCGGTTTTAAAGATTTGTAGGGTTCCTTCCTATGTTCTGCAAGGCCCCTCTCTCTGCAGAGTCAGCAGCGGGGTGGGGAGTGGCCTCTTGCAGTAAGGAGAGGCCGGAACCCGTCGGCCGCTGGGTCCCAATGGCTTCAGATGCGCAGGCGTCGCAGGCATCGGCTCTCCGCTGGGCAGTGGGCGACCCTGCATCCCCTGCCCACCCACTGGCCATGTGAGTCAGGGGTCTGCCCTCAGATCCGTCTGCTCCCAGCTTGATGGTGCATACCTCCCTCTACCCAGGCCATCCTATGACTGCGTGGGATCAGGTCTTGCCTGCCAGCCCTGATCTCTGGGCTAAAAACATACTTTCAGCAGCCCAAGGAAACCATTATGCGGAATTCATAGCCCAAAAGCAACAAAAACCACACCTACAAGCCCATAGTCTAAAATGCTATTCCTTTTGGTTTGTAATAAGATTAGAAAGCTTTCTCGTTTTGAATTGGAAAAAAAAAAGGATGTGTGTCTAAGGATTAATAACAGCCACATCACCAAAGCATGGAGACATCAGGACTGGGATTTAGTGTTTGTACATTCAAGGTTCACTCAGGGGGTTTCCTGTAAAGCGCATTGTCTGCTTTTACAATCATTTTCAATCATCAAATCATTACAATATTCAATTTTGTGGTGCAGAAAGAAGTCCAAATAAATAGGCAAAAGCAGATCTATAAAAGTTTTAAATCTTTAACTTACTAATCCACTGCATCTTTGACAGCAATCTTAGATTAGAATGGTCCAGAGGACAAAGTGCGTAACGGACGATGAGAAAACGATTCTTTCAAGTCTCACAGTTCTGCAGAGTTCTCCCTGCAGTCGCCATGTGCACAGTCCTCGTGGGAAAGGACGGTCACTTCTGGCTTCTGTCCCCTTCGTTCCAGTACTGCTCGGTCTGCATCTCCGTGAGCCGCGAGGTGGTGCGCTGGAACGCGAAGATCTCCTCTTCCCCGGTGAACATGGACAGCCCCTGAGCCGCGTCCTGGTCACAAAAGCAAGCGAGCAAACACACGCTCAGCGCCAGTTCCCACCACCCGCATGGACATGGGGACGTCCAAATTCATGTTTCAAAAAGACTTCAGGTTTACCTACTGAGGTTATAAATTTTTCTGTACATTTTCATATATAATCTCTTAAGTTAAGACTAGATCAACCCACTGATTTAAACCTATAAACAGGGAACAGATAAAATCACCAAGGATAAAACCTAAAAGAAAAACATTTGAAAAACAATTAAAGCTGACACAATACCACAACACCCAACTGTGAGAGGTTTTATTCAGAATTAAAGTTCGCTGCAAAACCTAAAGGAATATTAGATATTCCAGATAGAAAAGGAATTCCTTCTCCTTGAGTGCACGCACACCCAGGAATAAGGAATGACAAAAGCAGTGGTTCTGCTGTGTTACGAAGGGGCAGACCTGGCTTCGGAAGCTTCCTAGCCAGGGTCCCACTGCCCATAGGTCCCAGAGGACAAACCTCTGAAGAGCCTTTTCCAAACTGGGGGAACTGAAAGGCCTCAGTGGGTCCGTGGGAGGCTGGTAAACAGGCTGAGACTGGTGATACCAACATGCGCTCATGGCCACTAAGTGGACTTTGACCTTTCCTTTCTTTCCATAGAGTTTGTTATTGTGCTTTTTCAGAAAAAAAAAAAAAAAAAAATGTAAAAAAACAGTTCACCTTCCCCACTGATTCACTATGATCTTCAT